TACATATGAACATATGAGATCTGGGTTGAGCAGATCCCATAGGTCTACCTAGGGCTGTAGGCATGTTTTAGAAGTCAGCCTTGTGTTTGTTTGAAGGATGCTGAAGAGTTTTGGGGCAGCCTTTTGGTATTCTCTTGGGAGTGTAATTTGTTTTTTAGAGTCAGGAGGGGGGGCTTTTGTCTGTTCCTGAACTCACCAAGGCGGAGCAAGAACAGCTCTCTGTAATTTTAACACTCAGAGGTCAAGACTGCACTCTACATATGGAGAAGAGCACACACCTTTCAGAAAGAAGTAGCGTGTAAGGGAAGTCAAGTAGGTTTTCTGTTGGTGTTACAAAATTGGCTAGACTACATTGTGAAACTGACTAGTTTATATTATGGAACTGACTAAATGAAAATACCTTATATAAGATCAAGTTGTGAAATAGACTAGAGATCCATCATTTCCAGCAAATTGATGTAGCTTACAGATTGATTTATAATCATGTTACTGAGAAGCAAGATTAGTTGCAATACAGTCATTCTGTGCTACAGTGACTGTTTTTTAACGGAGTAGTGGAATTTGATACAATGGAATAGCATGATTATTTTAAGGTGCAAAAGATGAAAGTGTCCCCCCTGCTCTGCCTTCTTTGGCAAAAGCCATTTGACCATTCAGGGTTCTGGGCAGTTGGAAAACTCTAGCATTAAGGAAAAGGGCAAATGGAATGGCAGCTTTTCATCATTACTCTTATACAGTGCTTCCCAACCTTGGGTTCCCAGATGTTCTTGAACTACAGCTTCCAGAAACCTCCACCGCTAGCTGTGCTGGTAAGGATTTCTGGGAGTGATAGTCCATGAACATTTGGGGATGCAAAGTTGGGAACTACTGCTCTAGTATAAAAGTTCATAGCATTAGTTTACTTCTTTGAAAGTTCCACTCAGTTACTAACTTCTTATGACTGCAGGATACTTGCTTGTCTGCTTAATTATGATGATTAATTTCCCTGGCTGCAAGAAGTATCTTAACATTATGTAGGACACAAATCAAACAGGGAAGGAGTAGACTTGGTTGAGGTAAGAGAGTGATCCAAAGCCATTCTTTGCAGAGTGCTTCGGTAGCGTCCAGCATCAGTGGAGAAGAGTACACCTTGCTTTCAAAGGCTTGCTCCAAGAGGCTGCCTTACATACACCACTGCATTTGGCATATACAGTATGTGGGTGAGGATGAGGGAAAGATAATTGGTCAGGCATTTGCAGATGAAATATATTATCCTGCTGGATCATAAACATGTGTACTCAGAAGCAAGCTGCTTCCAAAGGCCAAGAGATGTGGAAGACTACAACTGTGGAAGTGAGAAAAAGGAGAACAAGGCACATGGCTTGTAATGGCCACTGTGTAGCTAGAATATAGTGAGAGCCAAGTGCAGTAAAATTAGTTTTTGGGACTACACCTCAGAATTCTATGCTGGCTGATGGGTGATGGGAGTTTTAGTCCAAAAAGGTAATTTCTCCAGGGTCTGAATGTTGCTCACACACAAACTAGACCACGTGATGGTAAGCTACAATTCCACATGTAGTATGAAGGAGAAAACTTAGTGTTTTTGCAGCGCCAGGAGTTTTCCACCTGAAGAACCCAAAGGAGCCCTTTAAATCAGGTTTAGTCCTATTCCCTCCAAACCAAAGAAAATGAGAAAGAAGGATGCCTCCTGACACAAAGAGGGATGGCTGTTCTCCCTATTCTAGATGTTGGATGTTCAGTGTTACTTTGACGAACACCCATTTTAAAACTCTGTCAGCCATTAAACAGCGTTCAACTTCTAGCAATAGCCAAGATGTGGGGATAAAAGATTATATATTCAGAGCTCCTAAGGAAACTGAGAGAGCTTGAAGTAAAACAGTTTGTCACAGCAGAATTATGAGCTGTCCAGTTGTCCAACTTTACTTTCTACATCTCATAGGAGGACAAGGAGACAAATCCACTGATATTATAGGAAATTCCTCTTCCTTAACTCCATGTTAAGAGCTTTACTCATGCCTATTGACTACAAGAGGACTGTCTTCACCCTGGTTATTGTCTGAAGAGAAGGGGTAATCTTGGATTTCAAGTAATTGCTGGGGACAAAAAGGGAAGGAGGAAGCCAGCAACTCAGACTGAACCTAGGGGCTTTGGAGGAAGGTCTGACCACCACTGCTGTTTGCTTCTCCTCTAAGGAAGAAGGCAACCAGCTGCTTCTGCCAACAAAGAATATCTAGCCTATCTGAGCGGCCAGTATTTGCTCCCAGCAAAAAATGACCTTCTCTTCAGACTGTCTTGTCCTTCAGCTTTATCCTGAAAAGAATAGTTTGGGCTGCTTTTCTATTCTGATACTGGGAGTTGTAGTCCAAGAACATTTGGGGATGCAAAGTTGGGAACTACTGCTCTTGTATAAAAGTTTGTAGCATTGGTGGGTAGGAAACAAAGAAAAGAACACTGAAGAAGGGAGAATATCATACCTGTAAGTGGAACTGATACTTTTTATAACTCCTGCACACTGTTTGCAATTTACTGGTCAAAATTCTGTTGCTTCATGTAAGTATGTCACACTAGATTAGGCCCAATGAATCAATGGGATTTAGTGAGTCAACTCTTCCATAAATACTGCTGATTCAAATAGCATACTTTAACTGCACCTTACTATGTTAAAGTAAATCACAGAGTAGGCGCATTTGAACCAATGGGATGTATGGCACAGTTGACTCACTAACTTCCCATTGATTCAGTGGGTCTACTCAAGTACATTTTACTGTGCTAAGCAATAAGATTTTGCCCACTAGATCTTTGTTGCAGAGCTTGCTCAGGGAGAAATGTAGATTGTACTAAACCCAAGCTCCCAATTTCATCTCCCTCCAACACATTTGCATTTGTTTCTTTGAAAGCACAAGTGTATCATGGTACATTGGAAGGCAATTTCAGGCCACTTTGATCATGCAAGCGGGTAAAAGAAGAATTGCTTTTGGCAGGTTTTCATTGCTATCCGTTTCAAGCATGAGCAATAGCTACCATTCTACAAGGCATTTCAATAAATCAGTTTTACTGTGTATACAATTTCTACTAAATTCTGCCTGTCACTTTTAGTACAACTGAAGAATAGCCTGTCGTTGGGGGCATATGTCAGTAATACAAACATGAAGACACCATTTTGAAACTGACCAACATGTGGTCAGAAAACATACTCTGTTTGCTGCCAAGAATGAGATGTAGACAAGGTTCTAAATTTGCCCCCAGACATTTAAAATTTATTGATATTGTTCCTGTTCATTTTCTTTTGAACAAATAAAATAGGGGTTGGCAAATTTTGGTTTTTGAGATAGCAGGAATAGGCAAATTGTGATCTTCCAGCATATCTGGGATTGAAGCACAGTTGGAGTTGTAGTCCAGCTGTTGCCCTGAAGGTGTGGAACTGTAGAACCCTATCAGTTACTTGAGATAATGTAGCTGTACTCTTAGCTATTAGATTGCTCTCCATGGTCCTGAAACAAGATCTAATGGCTCATTCTTGCAGAACTGGCCATGGTCTTGAATATAACCTATAGTGAGCTATCCACAGTGAAGTGAATTGAATGATAGCCTTTGGATTTAATGTAGGTCATTAACATGTATTGAGCCTGAATGGGTATTACTTGAGTAATGTTGTTACAGTAATTTGTTTAGTTTAAAATTTATAAGAGCACTGTAAACATTGGCATATAATGTGAAGATTTGTTGTACACATGTTGCAGCATCTTAGTAGTGCACGGCAGGTGTCCAAATGATTGCTTTTAAAGGAGATTATCTCATAATCCTGCTGCTGTTTATATCTAGCAAGGGAAAAGCCAAAGTAAATGCCTGTAAAGGAACTCATAATTAGAGATGTGAATAATGGAGACAAATAATATTTGTGGTTCAATTATTTGTATTTTAGTAATTTGTGTCCCTTTTAATTAGATGATCTATGATGGGAAAGTGTCCAATTCAGCTCAGTCAATTATGCCTTACTCTACTTTTTTTTCTCCTGACACTGAGCATATTCAGAGTAAATTGGCAGTGTAACTTTGATTTCATCAAATATATTTCAGTAAATTTCTGGAAATGGGTCAATATCAGTAACACCTTTTTTTTCTTTTAGTAAACCATTCTTTCATGGAGTTGTATTTATAGGGTGTGTTCACACTGAGAAAATATGTTGAATCTATTAATGTACTATTCATCCTTATGCTACAGAAAGAAAACTAAGGTGACTAATACTTGGAACGTGTAAAGACACTAAGACATCAGTGATGGAAGCAGCTGGATAGTAATTTACTTCTTTGCATTCTGCATCCCTGCAAAGGAAATGTAGGTCTTTTTCCTAACTAAATTGTAAGGTGCTGGACCCACATGTGAGTTTCATCAACTGGCCTTGCTTCTAGTGCCAACGCATAGGACTAGCCATGTATTAAGTAATCAAAGAAGCCCTCTGTGTGTACTGTTCCACCTTATAAGGGCAATCTTCAGCTAATCAGGATTTCTCCTTCATATGGAGGAACTGTGTGTATGTAGCATTGGTGTGCATAAGAGCCCTTCCTATGGTTGCCAGATACTTGAGGTGTAAGGCATGTTCTGTGGATCTCCTAACAAAGTCCTTGTAAAACTCTCGTGGCTAAAAAGCTGTTTGGAGCATTGTATGTAATGTATTGAAACAGAGTAATTCTAGAATTAAGGATCCAAGTGTCTGATTTTTTTAAAGTGTATTTTTAAAGTTTTTATCTGAAAGCAGCTTTTCCCTACCTGATGGCCTCCAAGCTTTTCTGTACAACCATTCCCAACTTTTCCAGTAACCATGGCCAAGGTTCATGGAGGAACTTGGGCTAAAGTATGTTGAATGATATATTTAATCTTACACTATATTAAGCTTGTTATTGGCTTGTGCTGGCTGAATTCACAAAATCTGTAGTCGGACTATATGGATTAGGTTTGCTTTGCACTCAGTATGCTGAAGAATTGTTTTGTTTTGTTTTTAGCCACAGAACCAAGTCTTCAGGCTGGCCTCCTCCTTCAGGATCCTGGACCTTGAACCAGGGATCTTCCTATGGATGGGAGATGACGGCAAACAGAGATGGGAGAGACTACTTCATCAAGTATGTTAACACAGCTATCTTACAATTTGTGTATGGACACTTCAGTGTAGCGTTCAGGCCTGTTCGATTCAGTTTTGTTAACCATTAAAAGTAATACTTTGTGCCAAAATGGCAGACTCTTTACTCTCTGAGTAGGTAAAATTAAAAAAATAATTACATAAATGTAACAGATAATATGTCAGAATAAATTACAACAATATCAACGCCATAGTTTTCTACTTTTCTTTCTGTAAACTGTCTTTCAAATGAGTCTTGAATTCCACTTTTTATTAATTTCTCCACTATGATAATAAGGGTACTATTCATATACAGGTTATATACAGGGGTTTTTTCCCTCTCTATTGAAAATGCTGCCTGAATATAATACAATACAATGTGTCTTGGGGTGTTACCTGAAGCACTTGGAGTTAAGCTGGAAGCACTGGGAGGCCTCATGGTTGGTCTGGAAGGATCTGCAGTAGCCTTATGAATGTAAGCAGGCTTTGAGGATCTTCACTAATGTGTATGAGAACCCACTGGAAGACTCCTGAGACCTGTATGTATATATAAACTGAGATCACCGGAGCTTGCCTGCGGGTTTCAGGAGAACAGTTTGATGTCTAGGCTAGCCCATGACATTCTACTGCCTGAGGCAAAGGATAAGATGAGGCTTCTTCCATTCCACACAAATAAACTGAATGAACTAGTGGTTAAGTCTGATTTCAGACATGGCAACTGGATAGCTCACCAGAGGATAGCAGGTTATCCTAAGATGGTGTGAGCGGGGCAGGCTGCATGAAAAAAAGATGATTCTGTCATTCAGCAGAAGGAAGTGGCCCCTGAACTGCTGCTCTTCTGTGTCACCCACCATTTGATGCCCACCATTTGATGCACAGGTATATATCAGTGGCAGTTAGTGGCTTATGTTTTGTTGGTGATACCTTAGTACCATTAAAACGAGGATGTTTGGAGGCTTTTAAATGTGTAATAAAAGTGCCTTGATTATAGCCTGACTATTCAAAAGGGCTGTATATAACAAAGCAATTATATGTGTTTTTATATAAAGTTGTATAAAGGGTGCCAATTTGAAAATTGAATAGTTTGTAATACATATATGTAGGACTGTTCTGTAGCTATGACTGAAATATTAGTGTGTAATGCAGTTATGGAAGAATGACCAGGATAAGCTCGCAAAATGTTTGAAAAGTTTGTTGTGTTTGAACTTTTTTTGCTCCTTTCTCCATCAGTGTGTGTGTTCTTCAAGATAAAATGCTCTTTGTTTTTCCCATGAAGACCATGGAGGCCACAACCAACACCTCTGAGACTTGGGAGGATAGATATTCAGACATTCAGCTCTCCCTGTCTGTTTACAGACATTTTTCACTAATATTATCCAGTCACATTTATTCCTATGTCCTACATGTGGATAATTTCTTCCTGGGCACTCAGCCTGTAGCACTCAGCCTGTCGAACCAAGTGCTACAGGCTCAGTGAATACCTCGCTGTTCGCAATTAATGGAAAGAACTGGCAAGTGGAGTTTTTGTTTTATGGTCCCCTCATTATGTGCTTGAATGCTCCTCATGTTTGAAGAAGTGTCTCTGATTTGAAGGTCTGTAGGTTTCAAGGTATTGCTTGAAATGCAGTGAATTGCCCAAGGCCATGTTATTCAGCATTCTGCATGTAGAGCACATCACAATTCAAAACAAGGAGAGGGAAAGGATGGGGAAGAAGGCCAAAGCAAGAGGAAAGAAGGACAGGGAGAAATACAAGTTGCATCATCTCCCTTTCAAGGTTCCTTGTTCTCCCCTTGTTGTACCCTCTGGTTTTATCAAAAGCCTAAGCACGCACAATCTCACTCTAAAGGCACAGGTTGCTGACCTCTGGGAGCAACTCTCAGTTCTGAAACAAAAGTTCTGTACACAGAAAAACCAGGATGAGAAAGGCTGGTGTGTGTGTGTGTGTGTGTGTGTGTGTGTCTGTGTCTGTGTCTGTGTCTTTTTGGTCCCAGGTGAATAACCTCCCCCCGCCCCTTCTCGGGCATTTTGAGAACTGTTTTTCACACTTAGTGTACTTCTGATTTGCTGGTGATTGTGCTTGGTTTTAGTGCTGTACTGGTTTGCTTTTGTTTTTACTCTTTGTGTCTCATTTTCTTGGCTGAAACCCAGTGATACATCCCAACTAAAGTAGGCCCATTGAATCAGTGTGGATTTGGTGAGTCAGCTCCTCCATAAGTTCCGTTGATTGAATGAGCTACTCTTGATGCAACTTACTACATGTGATGCCTGTAGTCCCTGTGTTTCCATTTGCATTTTAAATTTGTTTACGCATTGGAAATCAGTGTGGAAATGCCAGTTATCAGGTGATCCAAAAGTGTAAGCAAGTGTAAATAAGAATAAATCCAAAAAAAATCAGAGCATTCCAAGAATATTGAGGCAGTGAAGAAGATCCCAGCCTATTTAAAAAAAAATGAGGGGGAAGAAAATAAGCCTAATAGGCTTTGATGTATGGCAATAGGTGATGTTACCTTTCCTTCTGTGAAGGAGGAGGTGGTGATAATAATGGGCCAGATTTAACAGGGTGGAGTTCTGCTCATGACAACAGTGGAAAAGAGGGCAGCAGGACTTTCCACTAATTTCCATCTGCCTGCTTCAGTTTCCTTCTGCAAGCAATTGAGAGTGTACTAGAACAGTATGAGAGACTGCAGGAGAGTGAGAGAGCCAGCAAACTTACTTCCCTTCTTCCTTTAGTGGGATCCTTTAGTCGATTGAATGCATGTGTGCTGGGCAAAATACACAGAAGCACACAAGTGGACCTACAGACCAATGTATTCAGTGGTTTGTGATAAATACTGGTTGTGCATGAGACTCTCAAATTTGCATTTAACTGTTGAGCCCTGCCATCTTTTGGGGGAGGTACGTGCAAAATCTTTTTTTATTAAGTACTGTATTGTATATTTTATATCCACCAGTAGCCTTGTATTGCTGCCTCAGTTCCCAAAATGATATGATTTTACAGTATATAGCCCAAAGGAGTGAATTGTAATACATTTGTTCCCATGTTTCCTTTAGTTCCTTGGTTGCTTCTGCCTTGTGTTCCCTTAAGCATCCTGAAGGAAATCATGTAATAACCCATGCCTCATCTGAATGAGTTTTGTTTTTCTTTACTGAAACTGTTTTCATGGCTGCTTTCTGTAGCCCTGAGCAAGCCAAACTCCATCATTTATATTATTAATGACATGTCACTGGTAGGCCCTGCTCCCTAACAGCTTATAACACCAACAGTATTCAGTGCTGAGGCTCACAAACATACTCACCCATTTATGCTTCAAAATCAATAACAAACAAATGGGAAGGTCAAGATCCTTGACTCCCTTTTACTTACAGTTTCTAGCATTCTGTCCACTTGTTATTTCATATGTTCTCTGAGTATACACATTCTTCCTTTTCTAAGTACTGGACCTATATTTTTCTTTAATGCAAATGTTTTTATTACAGTACTTTTGAATTAAACATAATTAGAGTGTGAAATCATAAGTATTTGTGGTGTTAAAAATCCATGCGCAGCCACTTTAGGTAGACAGAAGTGTTCTAGACCTACCCTCGTAATTTTTTACTTTGTTGCCCTTCTGCACATAGAAGGCAATGGTTGAAATGCAGTAGTAAATCACAGCTAAAGCAGGTGCCTTTAATCAATGGAACTTACATAGGGCTTGACTCTCCCATTCCCTATGGATTAATTGAACCTACAGTAATTACAACTGGATTTCAGCCAGTGAGTCTGAAGCAGGGATCCTCTGCTGTCTATGTGTGCTGTCCTTGTGGTAAGGAATCTGAATGCCCAGGGTTGTAATTGCGGGATTCCAGATTGCATGGGGTTGTCTGGATAGCTCAGTTATTAGGTTTCTGACTGCAGAGCCAGACACTGGGAGTTCAATTCCCCATTGGGGATAGATAGTGGAAGCCTTCATTTTCAGAGTTTAATGGATCATATGCCACAATTCCTGTGTAAGGAGGGCAATGGAATTAGAGGTGGAAGGGGCAGAATTAGAGAGCACTCCCTCTACCCAGAATTAATTTACAGATTTTTAATGCCTGGATGGACATCTTGACGCTTATTGGTGCAGGCATGAAACCTGTTCATGAGACAGGTTTCTCAAGTGCTGCATTCTAGAAGAGCAATTTTTAAATAAAAAGATGCAGCACTGCATGTTTTTTGGAATCAGTGTGCTTCAGTTCCACATAGTCCAAAACTTTTGGGTTGCAAAATGAATGCACAGTCAGTAAGATATTAATGTTCTGTATAATCATTAAATTAACAGCTCTTATGTACACTATTCAGATACAGCTAAAATGTACTTTGCATGGTATGATAGATCTATAGATCAATCCACCAAAAGCAAGCAAATATTGCACCCGTATTTTTGAGGTGTGTCTGTGACGTGTTGGTGGAGACACTGGAAACTATGTGCATCATGGCATTATTTTGCTTCAAGCACTGTTTTTAGTGGAACCAATTCATATATGTTGTTCATCATCAGGTGATATAGACGTGATAATATAATTTCACTGTGAATATGGAAATTTACAGCAGTTAAGGGGTATTACAATAATAGAACTTGGTACCCTACAAAATATGAACAAGCAAGATTGTGGGTGAATGCATATAATAAATAATAAACCATGAGCCATGAAATCAGTTCTGACATATGATGATCCTTTTCAGGGTTTTCTAGGTAAAGAATATTCTGAAATGTTTTACCATTCCCTACTTCTGAGACTGTGCAGCTTGCCCAAGCCCAAACAGGCTGGCTGTACTCACAAAAGACACAGTGGGGAATTTTTAGTGGAATCAATTCATGCATGCAGCTGTTCATCATCAGGTGATAAGAATAATATAATTTCTGCAGCCAGATACCTAAGTTACTGAGCTAACCAGCCAGCATGCATATAAAAAGCTGAAATTACAGATTTCTTGCTATGTTTGTCCTAAAGAGTCCTGGTTGCCTTAGTAGCTTTTAAAT